CAGCTGCCCCGCCCTCCACCAACCGATTCCTCCGCCCAAGTCCTCATCACTCCAAAGAAAATTAAGAAAATCGAGATTAATTACCTTAATTAACACTCCATAATCTTAATTATATATATTAGCATTTACGACTCCATATCCCCCGTCCCCAGCCCCCACTCTCTCTCTCTCTCTCTCTCTCTCTCTCTCTCTCTTTGTGTTTATCTTACCAACCGACTAAGCATCCCCAAATCTCGACCAAACCAATGGCCTTCGTTTTCGGATTAGTGCTCGGAATACTTGTCGGGCTCGCAATCATCGTCATATTTGTTCGGTTCGAGAACCACCGATCCAAGCTCCGGTCCGAGCTCGCCACCACTGTGGCTGCTTTTGCTCGAATGACCGTCGAGGATTCCAGAAAGCTCTTGCCTCCTCAGTATTACCCTTCCTGGGTCGTCTTCTCTCACCACCAGAAGTTGAGCTCCCAACTCTCTTTCTCTCTCTCTCTCTCTCTCTCTCTCTCTCGCTAGAATCTCCCGGGACTAATGTGTTTTCTTTGAAATTTTCAGTTGGGATGGCTCAATTCTCACCTCGAAAAGATGTGGCCTTATATCAATGAGGTAAAAATCCATCTGGGTTTTCTGCAATTTTTTCAAAATTTTATGAGTTTGTTAAATTTTGATGATCTTTTGAGGTGGGTTTCTAAAATTGGTGGTGTAGGCAGCGTCTGAGCTGATAAAGACTTCAGTGGAGCCAATGCTGGAGCAGTATAGACCAGTCATATTGTCCTCGCTCAAATTTTCCAAGTTTACTCTTGGTACGGTGGCACCTCAGTTTACAGGTGAGTTCAATTCATTTAATGATTGAAAAAAAAAAAAAAAAGTTATCTCCTTTCAATTCATTGTGCTTGTTTGGAAAGTGGGTTTTCCTTATTTTTCACAAAGATGTCACATTTCCTTATTTTTTTACCACAACTTCATTGATTGTGTAGGTAATCCCTAAATATATCTATAATTCATTAATATAGACATACTGGCACAAAACCAAGCGCAATGGGGTTCTAAGATTCATACAGCTTGGGATAAGGCTTTGTTGTTGTTGTTGTTGTTGTTGTATGTATTCTATAGATGATAGCGGATTAAAATCTTCCATTTTGTTATGGTTTTAGTGTCATTAAAAACGGGAGCTTTAAATGAAGGTTTTGCAAAGCAATAAGCATTCATTAATGTTGGGGTTTTAATGAGATTGTTTCTTTCATTAGGGGTTTCTATAATTGAAGATGGAGGTGACGGTATCACTATGGAGTTGGAAATGCAGTGGGATGGAAATCCAAGTATAATACTTGCTATCAAGACTTTAGTTGGTGTAGCACTACCGGTGCAGGTAATCTGCAACTTAATGCCTACTTGCTTCAGTCAGTGTAGGTTTTTTCCAAAGCTCATGATGATAATATATACAATTTTGTGTCTGCATATGTCGATTTCAGGTGAAAGATATTGGATTCACGGGGGTATTCAGGCTGATTTTTAAGCCTCTGGTTGACGAGTTTCCGTGTTTTGGAGCTGTTTGCTATTCATTGAGAAATAAGGTAGCATCCATTTCAAGTTCCAAGTTTAAAAGAATTTTAAAGGGAGAAGTTTTGTACAGATAATATAATTTATTTTACACATGAAAGGGGAGTTCCAAGAGACGAAGGTTTGCACTAACACAGCATATTTGTAGGATTATTTAAATATTCTGTCAGTGAATAGCTAGCTATGCAATTAGATTACCAGAGACACTCAACAACACTAATGTAGCAACTGTGTTGTTTTATTTGCAGAAAAAGTTAGATTTTAAGCTTAAGGTTGTGGGTGGCGACATATCTACATTACCTGGGATATCCGATGCAATTGAGGTTTGAACTATTCCATTAATTTTTCTTTCATTAATTGATTCTTGCACTCATGTATGATTTTATAATGTCTTGTGGCATGATCTTTATTTGAGTACTTGCATGAGTTGGAAATGTAAATGTCATACTTAATGTTCTGGCTTGTAGTGAAAATTTCAAGTATCAGTTGGGAAAACAGTATTTAGGATTGACCTGGTCAATAGAGCTAGGATTTAGAATTACAGAGTGCAGATACTCCCGTAAAAGTGTGCCTTCAGTTCAAGATGAGGTTGTAGTGTTTCCATTATTGTCTGGAATATGCAGACATGGGGTTCCATAGATCCTTGCTTGTGAATTACATTAAACCAATACCAATTGTGAAAGGGCTGCACTGGATGAGTTTGCGAGAAATGTATAGTAGTCCACTAGTCTTTCAGCAATAAAAGACTTAATAGGTCTTATTTCATGCATGATTATCATGCATGTTTCGCATAATATGCAGGATTTGTTTTATCATACATACTTGGTTTAATTGAGATGCAAAATTTTTATACAGGGGACCATACGGGATGCTGTTGAGGATTCAATTACATGGCCTGTTCGGAAGATTTTTCCCATTTTGCCCGGGGATTACAGGTAAAGCAGAACGCACAGGATTGTCCCTCTTTCACCTATCAATATTGTTAATCGTTTATTCTATGGTTTATGTTTTTAGTTTATGGTTATTTTCTTCATATTTTGATTAACTTCATTTGGTTAGTGATCTGGAGTTAAAGCCAGTCGGAGTGCTAGAGGTGAAACTTGTGCAGGCAAAGGAGTTAACAAATAAAGACATGGTGGGAAAATCAGATCCCTTTGCAAGACTGTACATACGACCTTTACCAGACAGAATGAAAAGAAGCAAAACAATTGTAAATTTCGGATCCTCTTATATATCCATTCATTTTACTTATTTGTTTTTCTTTTAATTGGTTTTGAAGAAATTCTATGTTTTTGTCTTCCTCTACAGAACAACGATTTGAATCCCATCTGGAATGAGCACTTTGAATTTATAGTTGAAGATGAAACGACTCAACATTTGGTGGTTAAAGTTTATGATGATGAGGGACTTCAGGCGTCTGAGCTCATTGGATGTGCTCAAGTACAACTGAGTGAACTTCAGCCTGGTAAAGTGAAGGATGTATGGTTGAAGCTGGTTAAAAGCTTGGATCTCCAAAGAGATAATAAAAACCGCGGACAGGTTAGAAGACTAATATTCATCCCTTGGGTCAATAATAAATAGCAACTAATTTTGAAATGCATTCTGGATCCTACTATGGTTGGCTATTGGAATTTATACTTTTCTGTGGATGGCTATTGGGTTTTCAAATTAGAAGACCATTTTATATGCTCCCACCCGCTATAGCTGTTTTTTCTTTCTGATGTATCCTGAAAGAAAATTTCACTTTTTTTAAATGTTTTTCTTTCTGTTTTAGGTGCATTTGGAGCTGTTATATTGTCCATTTGGCATGGAGAATGGCTTTGCTAATCCTTTTACTTCCAACTCCGCAATGACCTCTTTGGAAAAGGCACTTAAAAGTGAAATGAACGGAGCAAATGCTACTGAAAGTGAAAAGGAAGCCGCACAGAAGAGAAGGGAGGTCATAATTAGAGGTGTACTAACTATTACTATAATATCTGCTGAAGACTTGCCACCTGTTGATCTGATGGGGAAGGCTGATCCTTATGTGGTGCTCACCTTGAAGAAATCAGGAGCGAAAAACAAAACTAGGGTAAGATTCTGAATGCCAGAAGACTGTGGATACCTATTTTTCTTCTTTTGACAAAATTATTCCTGTAGTTTTGATTCCTCATAGAGCTTGCTGCCTTGTTTCATCTCTAGGTTTTGTTGATCCTTAAATTTTTTTTTTTCTGTTCTCAGGTTGTTAATGATAACTTGAATCCTGTTTGGAATCAAACTTTCGACTTTGTTGTCGAGGATGGATTGCATGACATGCTCATACTTGAAGTCTGGGACCACGACACTTTTGGCAAGGTAACAGTGTTTTCAGTTCTCCATTTGGTTTTTCGAGCGTAGTGGCAACGTTTCTAAAGTGTCTCATGGTAGCTTGGACCTTTACTTTTGAACTTGTGCTAACCTAGGTCCTTTCCATATTGTGCAGGACTATATGGGCAGATGCATCTTGACCCTCACTAGGGTCATCTTAGAAGGGGAATACCAAGACTCGATACCGCTAGATGGAGCCAAATCTGGGAAATTGAACGTGCATCTTAAGTGGAATGCCCAACCAATTTACCGCGAGTCTTGATTGATCTCTAACAACTGTTGTATGGATGACAGTAGATGGACGATGTACTACCCGCCCGGAGATGTATACAAAAAGCACCAAAGACACCTTCACTTCACACATGCTTGTTGATTCACAAACACGGAAAGCACTCAGATGGTGTACATAGTTGTTTCATAGTACCTGTCATAAATGTAGTGAAGTTGTAGCATGTATACCAATCAAAATCACGGCCTCGGCCGGGAATTACTCGGTTGCTGTTTGCTTGGATTGTCGGATTATCGACCTGTGTGTTTGAAGCGGGGTTCTGCTTCTTCACCTTTGGTTACCCCGTATTATTCCACGTTTTTATGCCTCGATATGACGGAACTGCCCGCCTGACCGCCGCGGAAAATGCAAGTTAATAGGATCGGATGCCACATCGTGAGCTTTGGCGACACTTAAACATCTTGACCAAGTTACTTTTAGGCTGGATTTTCTCACTTGATTGAGTGGTCTCCAACGACTTGGTTCCCTTATTTGCTTGCATTTTTTTTCTCCAATTACAGTTATGTGGGACTTAGTTCTAGTAATTTGAAATGTTAATGCGTGTTTGAGTTCATAAGATCACATCTTTTTTATGTACGGAAAATGCCGACAACCTTCTTAGCTCTTATACAGCAATGTTGCACGATAATTTGAACAATATTTTTCAAATCGCCTTTCAAAGATTATCTTTGTAAAAATTAACTAAATTAAAATCGTGTAGGCATCCAACGGCTATTCATCGTATTGACAAAACATGTTTCTACCTAAAACAATTAAATTTTGGAGGTTGTAATCATCAAACAACATTTGTCATGTAAAACGAAAAGCAGAAATGGTAATCCGAGCGAACATCACTTTTTTGTATTTAAATTTAACTCCTTAAAATAGTCGAAACAGTCGCAAAACAAAATAAAAATCCAATGCTATAACATATTTTTCATTTCAAAACTATGTTGCCACACTTAGTGGCAGCTCCAACACCATGAACAAGTAGCCAAGCAACAAGGGATCGTATTGCTTATTGACGCACGTCTCTATACAAGCTAATCCGATGTTTCAACATTCACGCATCTCTGCATTCTTCAATCAGATATTCATCAAGCAAAAGACCCCTTAGACGCGATCGATCTTTTTTTCAATACATAGCAATTTCGTCCATTGTCTTCCTAACATTATGCTTCTTCAGTTTTCGCCTCCTGTGATTCGCACTCCTGCATTACCAAAACTCAATCATATCAAACACATTTACTAATTTGCGTTATCGAAAAGTGAATTGCTCGCTGTTTTGGCACCTAAAACATGAGTACCGTATGGCTATACTTACCAGTACTGGTTGTCTAATATAAATGCGTCCATTGCGGTTTTCTTCCCATCATCATTGCGGTTCCAATGATAGAGTGCGTGTGTCCTGTTTATAAGCTCAAGCGTGGAATGCCCGTAGCTGGCTTCTCGGAATGCAGAATAATCTGGTTGTGGATTCCTAAACCTACAGAAACCATTGGAGAAATTGTTAGTCATGACTGCCTGCACAAAAAGAACTTGATTTCCCTACAGATTGTTAGTCGCATAATCTGCGTAATGAAATTATGTCTCTTAATTATGCTATCATGTATTTCGACTGATCTTTAACCTATTAACGGAACAAAAACGTAAAAGAAAAAACTAGAATAAAGTTCTTACCTTCCAGCAAGGCCTTCTTGGTTCCCTCCATCTCCAACAGTTATGTATACAGGAGCCGATTTGTCTGGTATCGGGTACTGGTAACCGCTTGTTACGTTGTATCGTATATTGGAGATTCGATACTGAAAATAAAGGCGAAAGGAAAACATAAATCTCAATCTAGCAATGAAATGTGTAATTGATATAAGATGAACTGGCACAATATGTATGAACGAAACGAAAATCCCGTTAAGTATTACAAACTTCAATTGACCTCCATACCAGAATAACAGACTGTTTGTGTACACACGAAGATGAATGGAATTGTAAGACTGTACTCCAATGTTGAATGCCGTAGTCATGACTATAGTATCAACTACACCATATCATATAATAGGATGCGATAGAAAAAAATAGAAGGTAAAGAATCATACCGATCTCTCATAAGCATGGACATGGCCAGCAAACACCACATCAACTTTGTATTGAACGAACCATCTCTCAAACACTGCTCGCATGCTTTCACCTTCCATGTAATGAACGTCGTTACTATTGTATAATGGAACATGCATAAGGACTATGAGCCAAGGTGTCTTTTCCCTGTCAACCCTTTTCAATTCTTCTGCTAGCCAACTCCATTGAGGCGTGTACTTCACTGGTGACAAAGTTAATAATTGACGTAAGGTATACCGGCACAAAATAGTCTGTTCACATATTTGCAAGTGTAGGAATGTACAATTACCAAATGGAGAGTAACTGGACAACACGATTATATGAGCTGATGCACGTCTGATGGCATACCAAAGAGGATTGCTACTATTAGAGGCCAAATGAGGAGTAGCATACCGATGAAGATAGTTCTTGAACGGAGTAACTTCTCCCTAGAATATGTACAGAAGTATTGGTTAGATAAAGCAACAATTTTTAGATTGCCCTGTTAACATGATTGGAGTTTCGGAAAACAACAAATCATGTACATAAACTGATTTGGATATCAGTAGAATTTTACAACTTTTTTATGTCATGGATCTATATTTTCATCCATTATGGTTCGAGGCATTCTAGGATTCATACAGCCGACCCCACTTGGTGGGATAAGGCTTTGTTGTTGTTGTTGTTGTTTGTACGGTTCTAGGGTCACAAAATAATAAAAAGAGACTTATAGCTACAAAAGTAACTCAGACAGTTCTGTAAAGCTATGCTTGATACTTTACCATATAAGGCATGTAATCAATTTCATGATTGCCAGCAGACCACATCCATGGCTGATACGCAGTACTTTGCTCGATGAATCGAGCCCATGTGTCCCACCGTAAACCCACTTCATTATACTGATATCTATCAGCATAGGAAAGATCTCCAACAAATAAAACAGCCTGTCCTGAACTCTTCATGTAGTGCTCAAGAGTTGACAGAGAGTTAAATGTCTGACCCAAATCACCTGCAACATACAGATAATGATTTATCAGGAGAAACTACAATATTCAACATTATTTTACACACAATGATAAGAATCTTAGGATACAAATATATCAGGCTGTGGTCACAGCATAGAGAAACTAACTGTTATCGGACACTTTCCAGAGAGAAAACAACTCACCTATGATCCCAAATGTGTAATGAGAATTTGGATCGATCTTTGGAGGTGTTGTAAACCAAAATTCTCGAGATGAATCGCCATTTCCAATTTTGTAATAGTACTTTGTGTCATACTGAAAACAAGACATAATTGAAGGTTTAGTGAAACTATAAGCAAGAGAATGAACAAGTTTGTATATTGCGTCTAAAACATTGAACAAGGTGGGAACATAAGTTGGGAAACTTGGAGACACCAATTCACAGAGTCGATTAAAACTTTAAGTTTACGTTGTTAACTGAGACAAAATCGTTGTCACACGAGTGAACATTTCACCACATATGCTTATACTAGTATACTTCACAAAGTATTAATCATCGTTACCTCTAGGCCTTCGACAAGACAGTGATGGATGTAGCCAGACTTATACTGGTAGAAGGTGTAGTTTGTCACGACACCCTTAGCAGAAAACTCGTATTTTTTCTCTGATGTACCATACTGCACTTTACTATCCCCTGGTTCGTTGGCCGTAACCCATGAGATGATTACAGCCTTTCCATCATAGTCACCTTGGGTGATATGCACCTGCAACGAATGTTTAAAGTGTGTAAGAACATTACAGCTCAAAACATCAACATTGGTAAAGGATTTTCATCCTATTCGTATTAAATATAGCACTTTTGATTTAATCAAAATTGTTGGAAAAAATCAGGAACCGTAACTTTCCACATCCCGAATTCTGAAAACCCGTAAAATGTGCCTATTTTTCTACAGCAATATCAAACAGGCTATGAATTCTCACTTGTTGTGGAGCATTGTAACCCTTCGGCACCGCAAATACTTTATTGTTCAGAGGGATGTCAACCGATGGATGCTCAGATCGAATGAAAGTACTCGTGATTCCTGCAGCATTCCCACTCCTCAAAAGGCTCAACAAGACGAAGGAGGTAAGGATAATTCGAAGCAGCGTGGACTCCGTCCTAGTAACCACTGCCGTCATTGTTCATTCAGCAAATTACAGTAAAACTAACTCCACTACAAGAAGAATAAGAAACAAGAAATAAGCAGTCTGCCATATCAGCGACCGAGTGTCGAATGCCAGACAATTCGCTCAACCAGAAAAACCAACTAAAGAAGAAACATTCGACGAAAAGGGATAAGGGACAATTTCTGCTCCTGCCCCGGAAAATGATCCTCCTCTCAATCGAGGCCACATCAAATTTTCAAATTTTCACAAACCCTTCAACTTTTACTTGAAAAACTTTGCAGTTGCAAATTCCAACAATCCAACAACATTAAACCACCAAAATTTATTCAAAAAAATCACTTGTTAGAGTTAGATATGGATATAAACAGATGATTTGGGTAAATCAAATATAACCAAACCCATTAAAATTCCAATTGAATTTCTGCTGAATACAAACATTTCCAATCCACATTAACACACAGGAACACAACTAAACAACTAAAAACTCATTATAATTGAATAATTAGCACTAATATTCTGCCAAATTAAATAGATCAAACAGAAAAAGAAAAAGAAAAAATTCAAAGTTAGAGAGAGCGAGAGAGTACCAGAAATTCATAGCTTGGAGTGGTTGAGGAGAGAGAGAGTGTGAACTAATTATTAGTTGGAGGGGGAAGGCGTGTATTAGGGGCATCCGATGAGTTGACGTGGTGTGGCATAGGTTAAGAGGAAACTATAACCTCGGACCGTTCGGGTACAGGCGACGAGATTGGATTGGTCTGTTCAAGTCTTTATGAAAGGGACCCACACACTGTACAGTCGACGAGGTTAGAGGAAACTATATCCAAAGGACGTGACATTTTGGGAAAATTACATTTTACCCTTCAGGTTTGGGGTCAATTTCAATTTCTTACAATATCTTAAAACATTTTAATTTCATATATTTACTTATCATTTTATTTCAATTTTATACATCCGTTAGAAAATTTATTAAGTAAACCGTTAAGTGATGATATGGCAAATATAAGATCCATATTTGTGCTGGCTGCCATATTTGTGCCACGTGACAAAAAAATAATTTTTTATGCATTTAAAATATAATATTATTTATTTACCCTATTTTTTAAAAAAATTAAAAAAAAAACAACCAAACAAAACAAACCCAGAACCCCCCTCTGACGACCCACTTCTCCATCTCCTCCCTCTTCACCTCTCATCCTTTCTCTCTCCTCAAACCCACTCCTTCCTCTTAACCCCCGACACACCTTGATCATCGAGGCCCCAGTTGAGACTTTCCAGAAGACGACGATGTCGATAATCGCGAGATCAAGAGAATCAATGAATAGTAGGGGTGGGCAAACAAATACTAAACCCGCAAGGCAGGGCGGGTTTTAAAATTGTAAAACACAAACGGGGTTGGGCGAGTTCAAGAAATTAACAAGGCGGGGTGGGTCCAAAAGATCATAGAAACAGGGCCCTAGCCGGACCTGTTTCTCCCAAGCCCACTCAGTTTCCCGATCCAATCTTCTCTCCAAAGTCCATACCACCCATTATTCTGTCTTCTCCTCCTCAACAACATCACCCATCTCGATTCTCTCATCCTCGTCGGCACCACCCATCCTTCTCATCTTCTGTCTTTTCCTCCTTAACGACATCACACATCTTTCTCTCCTCTTTGATGATATTCCAAAACACCCAGGTCCTAGAACCACGATGGCACAAACCATCTCGGTTCTCTCCTCCTCGTCGGCACCACCCATCTCGATTCTTAGACGACAGCACCGTCTTCGCGATCATCATCACCTTATCACCGCCGTCGCCTGCTATAATTTTGGTAATTTTGAATTAGGCGTTTGTTATTTATATGAATTTTTGGTTTAGGGATTTAGGGTTTTTGAATTAGGAATGGTATAGATTATGTTTTGGGTTCTAAATTTCTAGGTGGGGAATACAAGATTTGTAGTTGTCACAATGAAGGTTGTGGGGATGGAATTACATTCATTTGATATATGTGTGTCTGTTCTTTAATTTTCGTTTCACTGTTTGGTGCAATAGGATCGAAATTGAAATTGAATATCCCTTTAATTTGTTTTTCGTATCGTTTTCATTCCACTGTTGGCTGTTTTGAATAATTCACTGACATATTTTTCGATTTGATGGTAACATTCCACCATGAGGATGATCCACTAGTGGCTGCAATTTCGTCGGTGCTCTTTGGAGGATGATCCAGTCTTCTTTTCATCCACTTATGGCGCTGTGATCAACTTGAATTATGGTGGTTGTTGGAGGCTCAGTATGCAACGCTCTGGCGACGGTGGTGGATGCAGACAGTTACGGTTTGTTTTGGGTTGCGCTCAAAACTTTGTTTTGGGCTTTTTTGCCGTTTGCTTTTGGGGTCCATTTTTGTTCTGTAATTGGGCCTCATGTTGTGTTGTTATTGAATATTTATGTTCTACTTTGTTTATACCATATTCAGGGCCTCGTATTTAGATCTCATACAAATACTCGGGGGACTTAAATATAATTATGTGATAAAGGAAGGGGCAAATATGTAATAAGTGAGGAGTCCTTATTCTATAAAAGGATACCTCACCCTCATAATTAGAAGATGCCATCTCCTAGGCCATCAGAGACCTCACTCTCTCCCTCAGAGGCTCTGAATCTCTCTCCCACACTTCTCAGATAAATACATAATCAGTGTGGACGTAGTTTAAACCTTGGGGTGAACCACGATACATCTTGTGTTATTTACATTACTTGCAGATTCACGATCTAATTTACGTAGTTCCAAGACCTCCGGTTTTGTGCATCAACATTTGGCGCCGTCTGTGGGAATCGATACGAAAAGTTGTGTCGGTTCTCTTTCATTTTTTCACCTCCACCATGAATCTACAAAATCACAAAAACTCATAAACCCAGTAACCTCTCTCTCTCACACTCTACTATCCTCTTACAGACAAGTCACAAAAAACCAAACACTCTCTCCCTCGACCTCACCGTCCTCGACCTCTATAACAACAACCTCACCGGCGACCTCCCCGTATTTTGGGCTTACTGCAAAATGTCTCCCCCAGTTGAGTCTGGGGTATTAATCTTGTCTACCATCTCTGATCTCATATTTAATTCTTTGTAGCAAAACTTGGAACACAGCAACTCATCCCAACTCTAACAAAGCAGAGAGGGATTCAGGAGAGGTTGACCTGCAAGTCCCAATTCCCAACCTAAGTGATGAGAATCCCTCATCCCAATCATCACTCATCCAAGTCGGCCACAGCCTCAGCGAAAGACGACTCTGACCCGACCCGACCCACAATGCCCGGCCTCTATAACCTGGGCTTGCCCGTTGGAGTCCAGAAGTAGCCATGGCCTCACGCCAAGCCCCTTTTTCCGTAACCCGCCGGCCACCGATATGCCCACCTCCGTCTACTTCCGATGCTATTGACGGATACTCCATGGCTATGTTGGAACGCTGCTTCGTGGGAAGTTGTGCCACTAATTCGAGTTACAGTTCACATTTCATACACAGATCCGAGTTGCAGTTCACTATGGTATCCCATCCATGGCGTCCATTCTTGTTTTTTTTTTCCTTGACTCCCTACTGGGTGTAATCACGGGGCAAAAATCAGCCTGAACATCACCAATAACACCCACCTTGAGAAAGTTCTAGACGTCTGCGAGGGCCTATTTGAAGGCGTGGTTGACAGACTCAACGACTCGCTGACCTCCAAGGATGTGAACAGGACAACAAGTTTTCCCTCACCGCCAAAATCAACGACATCAAAGACGTGGCTGAGCACTAAATTGACGGATCATGAGACTTGTTTGGACTCTCTGGCAGATCTCAACTTGACCTTCGTTCAAGAATTCAAGGCGGTGATGCAGAATACAACTGAATTTTCGAGCAGTAGTTTGGCGATTGTGGCGAAAATCCTGAGCCTTCTTATTGGGCTTCTACAGCTCTCAGCTCTCAGCTCTCAGCTCTATGTGATTCTCGCATCTCTCAGCTCGTTTCCCAACGAACCTTTCTTCCACGGGAGTGAGTACAGTTGACACGCCGCTGCACCGATCGCATAGGCTCTGCTCCACTCCGACCGTTGAAATTTTCGATCAAAGTGTGACCGGCGGCCTAGCTTATGTAGTTTATTGTCATAAACAGGAATATGAGAAGGCAATTGTTACTAAAGAAGAGATCTTGGATTATGAGTTGCATTCATATCCTACATTTTCAAGCCATTTCAGGAACAATGTCGCAAGTTCATCGGGTAGCAATTTGAGATCAGACTTGCTTGGAATGAGATTTTCACCATCACTCGTGGTAGGGATTGAAGAAAAAGGTAGGTCATGCCAAACCCATCTCAGAGCTCAAGCAGCTCATCCGCAACATCCAGGTCCAGTACGAGCCTATCATCTTCATCCACAACGGCTCCGGACCCGTCGTCTTCATCGTCGACCGCTTCCTGTAAATCCTATTGCAATAGAGGGAATTATGCAACCTATTGTAGGTCATGATGGAAAGAGGAAAGAGCTGGAGAGTAACGTGCAATCCGCTGTCAAGTGGGCTTGCTGGAAAAATGAACAGAATAGAAAAGGAAAAGATCATGATGTTGTTGAGAGAATATTTCAGAAAAAGAAAAAGGGAATAAATAGACAGAGAATGAGCGAGGAGATTAAGAAAAGCAAAAGTGAGGAATAAACACCCCACCAGAATGATGTAATTTATTTTCCTTATCTTTTGGAAACATCTGTATAAACTCCATCAGAAGGTAATATGTATAAACCCCATCAGAGGGTAATCATAAAAAATAAAAATAAAATGGCAAAGCCCAAAATAGCACCAACCAGGCGACCAAAAGTACGCACAGTACTACCAAAATTATTCGGCAACCTGCCGCTATTACCACCAACCAGGTGATCAAAAGTACGCCTAATACTCCAAAATTATTCGGTAACCCGCCGCTATTACCACCATCCAAGTGATGAAATGTACAACCCGTACTCTAATATCATTTGGCAACTAGCCATTCATACCACCAACCAGGTGATGAAATGTACAATCCGTACTTTCCTTCATGCCACCAACCAGGTGATCAAAAGTACGCACAGTACTCCAAATTATACATGAGCATTACTCATGTCATTCATACATAAACATTCATAAGCATCACTCATGACAATCATACATAAACATTCATGACCATCATTTATGTTAACATTCATGAGCATCACTCATGACAACATCCATGAGCATCACTCATGTCAATCAACATAAACATTCATGAGCATCACTCATGTCAATCAGGTTCAAAAGCTTCAATTACTGAGCTCTAGCTTAAAAAGCTCATTTACAGAGCTCTAGCTTCAAAATCTTCATTTATAAAAGCTCCAGCTTCGAAAGCTTCATTTACAGAACTCTAGCTTCAAAGCTTCACTGGCAAAGCTTCACCTACAAAGCTTCAATGCAGGGTATACAAATACCGTCTCCGAACAACCGCCACTTTCGGCCCATACATGGATTCAATTTGAAGTCTCCAGCCAACAGACACTATTGACCAAAGACTTGGGGGACTACATTATGTACCATATATTGGGCCTCAACTGGGCCTCATGAAAAATACTTGGGGGACTTAGCCCATTATTTATGTATTAAGGAGCGAGCCCTTATTCTATAAAATGGACTCCCTTACTTTCATTAGAGAGCACCCATTATTCATGTACTGAGGAATGAGCCCTTATTTTATAAAATGGACTCCCTCACCTTCATTAGAAAGCAACGCCGCCAGCTGAGCAACCGCCTCGCCACGAGCATCACTCCTAACCCATCACTTATGTATTGATGAACGAGCCCTTATTCTATAAAAGGGACTCCCTCACCTTCATTAGAGAGCAACGCCGCCAGCTAAGCAACCACCTCACCGCGAGCATCACTCATAACCCATCACTTATGTATTGAGGAGCGACCCCTTATTCTATAAAAGGGACTTCTTCACCACTATTAGAGAGCATTGCCGCCTACTGAGCAACCGCCTCGCCGCGAGCATCAACTCTAACCCATCATTTATGTATTGATGAGCGATCCCTTATTTTATAAAAGGGACCCCCTCACCTTCAAACGCCACAAGCCGAGCCAACCAAGGCAACATAAGCCACGAGTCGAGCAGTCTTGCAGCGTGTACTACTTCTAGTTGAGTATCATTTCAGATTAAGCACCGCCTCATATCGAGCATCAGTTCAAAACAACATCTAGTTACTTCGGCCTACACATGGAGTGAATTTCAAGTCTCCAGCCAAAAGACTTTCTTGATTGAAGACTTGGGGGACTACTGTTTAAACCATATTCAGGGTCTCGTATTTAGATATCGTACAAATACTCGGGGGACTTAAATGTAATTATGTGATAAAGGAATGGGCAAATATGTAATAAGTGAGGAGTCCTTATTCTATAAAAGGACTTTTCACCTTCACAATTAGATGAAGCCATCTCCTAGGCCATCAGAGACCTCACTCTCTCCCTCGGAGGCTCTGAATCTCTCTCCCTCACTTCTCAGATAAATACATAATCAGTGTGGACGTAGCCCAAACCTTGGGGTGAACCACGATACATCTTGTGTTATTTACATTACTTGCAGATTCACAGTCGGATTTAAGTTGTTCCAAGACCTCCGGTTTTGTGCATCAACATACTTTTTTATTTTGTAGTGTTGATGGTGATTCAAAGCGTTCATTTTATATGTTACTCTTTACCGATCAGATTTGTTAAAAAATGATGTTATTTAGTTGTCTAATAATTATCTAATAAATACACTAACTATGTTGTTCAATTAAACAGTAAAACTTTGTGAAGTGATCAGGGCCAGCCCTGAGGGTAGCCTAAGTAGGTGCCTGCCTAGGGCCCCCACTTCGAAGGGCCCAAAAAAAAAATTTATATCCTGTAATTAACATATAAATATAAAAAAAGGTAAGAAATATCATAATTCATTTGTTAGTGCAGTGGAAATGTTGGCTTCATTTTTCTTTGGGGTGTTGAGTTTGAAACACGAAGCTGCCTTTCAGTCACTAGATTTTTCTTAAGTTTTCTTATTTTTCAAATTTACTGCCAATCTATCTGTCCAACTCTCAATCCATTTGTCCAAATGCATATAAAGTTATAAAACTCAAGTCTCTTTGCAATCTTTTTTCTTTCAACTTCTCATTTTCTCCATTTCTATCGAATGTTTAAATTAACTTCCCATTCTCTTCATTTCTATTGAATGTTTAAACTAACTATCATATGGTCTTAAAGATTGTATTTTAAGGTAATCAAAACTTTGAATTTTATATTTTTCTTTTCGATAACTTTTTATTCAATGGATTATTTTAATATTCTATTCGTTAGTGTGATGTTGATTTTAGAAGAACAAAAAACACAAAAGAAACAATTGGCATTGAATTTATTATACTCGTCAATCAAGTTTTATTGTTAAACTCTCTTGATCATCAAGTTTTATTGTTCTTCACTCTCAATCTTAAACAATTGACCGCAAACATTTAGCATATTTGTGTCTAAAAACGTGAATCGCGTAATGTTTAAATAATGTTTGTATATATATCTTCTTTTGATATTAATTTTTAATGATATTTGATGTGAAAATATAACTTTTTATGGATTTAGCGAATTTTTTTTATATATAAATCAATGTACAAAGAACCGGAGATCAGAGAATTTTAGGACCCCACTTCGAAAGCTCGCCTAGGGCCCCCAAATTCTCAGGGCCGGCCCTGGAAGCGATCTTTGTGAACTATGACATTATAAAATAGGGAAGTGTTATTAGCACTCCAAAAATCTCATTCTACACTCTTCACAAGTGTATTTTTCGTTCCAAATATAAAAAGTTTGGAGTGTAGAATGAGATTTTTGAAATGCCAATAACAATTCTCCTAAAATATTGCAAGATGATTAGAAGAGTTGAAAAAGAAGAACCAGGATTCTCTCCTGAGCATTTCCCTAGGGATCCCGCAATCATGTCCATTCATCGTGTATCGTGCGGTCAGAAATCATTTAAAATTTAAATTTTAAAATTCAAATATGAATAGTACCTAACGAAAACTGACCGTACGATATAAAATGAACGGACAAGATTGCGGGATCCCTAGGATCCCTAGGAAAATGCTCAGAAGAGAATCCTGGTTCGAAAAAGAAAAATGAAAGTACGACTAAGAGGGTCAGTAACATATCCCCAACTTGAGGAATGACAAGGCATATAAGTTCCGTGATTTAACAAAAGCATTGGATTATCTTAAAGCCACTGTATTTGAGGTTCAAATCTTCACTTTTTTATTAGTGTAAATTAATATGGAGCATCCCTTGTTATGAATAAAAAAAAAAACACTGGATTGTTTTTTGGCTTTGAAAAGGACATCTCCAATTGAAATGGCTAAAATAGCTTCGTCTAAAATTATAGCCCTGCAAAAATTATTTTTAAATTAATAGTATCACACCATGCTCATATACCATCTCCAATCGAATAGGTTAACATAGCCCCTCAATAACTTATTAGTTTTAAGTTTATACTTTAAATTTATTGATTAATTAAATTAAATTATTGTTAGATGTTTTTAAATCTAATTGTTGAATTTGAATTAATTATTGCAAGCGAGGAGTTGGACCCCAAAAAATAGGCTAAGAGGGGGAGGGTTACATTTGGCCAAATAATGGCCAAATGAGCTCTGTAGAATTATAGCCCGTCATCGGTTGGAGATGGATATTTGGGCAAATCATGCCATTTTTTGACTTTTGGACCTTTAACCCTATCCAGTAGAGATGGCTTAAACTTCATCTCAACTTAGTCCATTCTCAAATTTGATGATATTATTTGGGTGGTGTTATCCAAAAACATAGCTTTTTACCTTCTACACATACCTTTTTAATCTTCATCATTCCAATTCAATCATCGAAAATTAAGAAATGAGTGGAGAAAGTAAAAATGGCTTGTGAATAACACCATCTTAATTTGGGCTTTGTAGTATTTTGGATTATGATTGGAATTGCTTGATAAGCCTATAATTTTTTTCCTTTTTCAAATAGGTGATGTAGTTGGGGGGCATAGACTCATCATAGACGACGATCCCAAGAATGGCAAAAACATGATAAAGTCATGGCTCACATCTCATTCTTAAATCCCCAAAACATCAGAACCTCATGCCCATGCGTGGCCCAAACACAATGATACCATTGCATTTCTTGAGTTAGTTCTTTCTTGCAAAACTCTCTTTCAGAAGTAAAACCCTAACTCCATTTCCAACCACTTTTGTATCAATAAATTAATGTATTTCCAAACCCAAGAATGGTCGTTGAGTTGAGTTGAATTGAAACAAGAAAATCCCATCTTATTTGTTTATTTTTATTTATTTCATTTCAATAATTTAATCTCCGTATCTTTTTCTTCAGAAAATCACAACAGCTTCTGATGGCCATATCCATGGAGGTCAAGCTCCATCAGAAGGAAGACGGCCCGCGAGTTCTCAAGGTCCTAGAAGCTCTAAAACAAGCCTCCCACGAGCTACAGACCCACCCGATTCCCCACTCAAACTCATCCTCCGCCATTAACGCCCTCCTCGAGCTCGAGACCGAGTCCGACAACATCCTCTCCCGGGACCCACAACTATCCGCCCTCTCCCAGCACCTCGCCACCCTCAAAACCCTCGTCGAGTCCCTCCGCCAGTCCAGCGGCCACCTCAGCATCCGCTCCTTCCTTACTCGGTGCTGCTCGACTCACTGCCTCTCCAAACTCGCCCGGTCTATCGAGTCCGAAATTCAAGCTTGGATCGACCGCGAGTGCTTACATAGCTTGACGCGAGCTCTGGAAGAAGATCCAATTCGCGACGAGGACAAGTTGATCAAACTACTGACTCGGTTCGAGGACCGAGTTGCGCAGGGGTTCAACCATGAGTTGCAAGATTTGATCTTGAAGTCCAAAATTGTCACCTCGCTCGAGTCTGTTCTGTGCGAGTCGACTTGGTCATCGAAGCGAGTCAAAGAACACATTGCTTTCGCCATTGCAGCTCTGATCAAGTTCAATAAAGATGTTTTCGTGGGTCAAGTTTTGATTGGTCGGCCGACGATCAGCTCTCTGATAAAAATCGCGTCTCCGAACGCGATCAGAGTACTCTGCGCGCTCGTCAGGCTGATCAAATCGCCGCTCGTCGACGAGATCGAGTTCAACGGAGAAATACCCAATATCATAAGCTTCCTGAATTCCGAAGATTTGGAAATGCGAGTGATGGCGATGGTCTGCGTGTTCGAAATCGGGTATTTCGGGCGGAAGGAGGCTATTGACGCGATGCTACAGGAGGGGTTGATTGAGAAGCTTGTGGAGTTGCAGAGGTCGGAGCACGGCGGTGATTTGATGAGGGAGAGCAGGGAGAAGGGGTTCTTGGAGAGCCACCCGTTTTCGAGCTGCGTGGCGAGGTTCACAGTGCAGTTAGAGGTGGGGGAGGGGCTGAGGCAGCGGGAGAGGAGGGCGTTTAAGCAGCAGATATTGGTGAGAGTAAGGGAGGCGTCTATTTCCGACGCGGAGGCTGCCACCATTTTTGCGGAGGTTTTGTGGGGAGCTTCGCCTTAATTAAGGGGGTGAAAGAGAGGATAAATTTTTTATTCTGACGGAACGGGTGTTACATCACGTGTTTTTATACAAGTGGGTGAGAAATTTTATTTTTTTACTTATTAACTTTTTAAGATATATATCCTATTATTTGTATAATGACATAATTTGTAACACCTTGTATGACGGTGATAGTGAAAAATCTCTCGAAAGGGAGAAGGTGATATGATTGGCTTTGGTGTAATTCAAGAGGGTACACAAAAATTCAATTTATTTGTTTTATGTGACTAATTAGTATTTAGTGGTTCAAAACATTGACCCTATGAAAAATTGGTTCAAATACATATCGTGCCCTAAATTGGTTCAAATGCAACCGATATTATTTCAAGTTAATCATGTATTGATATTGATAATTCGATGGGATGTGCTATTCACACACTTCAAATTACTTCTCACACACCCTTGTTAATTTCTATCATTTGATCTTCTTCAATTCTTCCGATCCAACGGCCGAAAATTAGAAGGGTGTGTGAGAAGTAAAATGGATGTGTGGATATCACATCCCTAATTCGATTGGTTTCATGATATTACTCACCTATACTCCCAACAGTTCACAACCTCACCCCATCCTGATTCCTGATGAATATTTTGTTCGGACACAGGTGTAAGTGTGTCACCTGTTTGCATAAAAAACTTGCCTACATCCTCTGAAGACACCACCGTCACATGATAGACTAATAATACAATGTTGCACGATTTAAATTTCACACAAACATGAGGTTTTAAGACACCGCTACTTTGGCCTCTTCCTACTTGTTTCCGACTAGCAGAAGAGAGCCCTTTGTAAGGTTTTAGGAATCAGAATATATATGTACGAGGGGATATTCTTAGCTTAGGCATGTTTCTGGGCTACCACAGATTCAGAATACGAATGATTGATGACAAATCTCTGAAATCTTTTACGAAGTTTGCCGAAAAGTCATTAGACAAGTTATCTGGAAGTCCATTAGACAAATTCAAAATCATTAATTTGTAGTTAAAAAAATGATCGAATACAGTTCTACCAAGAAATACAAATTTCATCCAACAATCATAAGATTTCGGATTTGGATAATTTTTGGTAAACATGATTTTTGAAGTAAAACATAAAAAATAGACCCAAGAAAGTAAACAATAACAATATAAATAACATGGACCATAAACATCATATTGATTTCCACCTATTGCTAATCCTATTTCAAATTATTTTGTGAATATCATAGACATAAGACAGACCATCTCTACGATTTAACTGTACACTTATTGCCTCAATTTACTTCACTACAAAAACCTCTTCAGTGAGCTTACTGCTTCACCGCTGCTCGGAGGCTGGCCGCTTCACTCAATAACACGTCGGTTAAACGCAAAAGAATGCTGCTAAACAATGGCCAAAAACAGATGCAGCTCGTTAGGATTCTCCCGTGTTGCCATCTTAAGCGAGAGCGAAAATTTAGAAGTTTGGAACAAAGCTTCTGAAATTACCTTCTGTCCTCTTCATACAAAAAACAGCAACCAAAACTCATCCAATCTCCCTTTATTCATGAACTGTACTTTTAACATCCTTCTTCCGTAAAAGTGCCCAGAAAATTGTGAAAGCCGCAACCATACTGAACTGCAAATGATCAGTGCTACTTGTTTTGATGCTTATCTTACCCATCCTACGGTTATTCATATTAGCATTAACCGACACTCTCATATCTCGCCCCAGCCGGGACTCGGACTGTAAATTTCCACCCAACACCATCTCTTTATTGAAAGACAGGATAGTCATCATCAGGCTCACATTGTCATTTCTCACAGGATAGTCTCTACCCCTCAACGTAGCTTCAACACTGCCACCATACGCCACTTGCTCAGGACCCATCATTTGGCCAACATTCATCACAAGTTTCAATCTCTTCCCAACTGATATGGTGTCTTCAAGCTTTCCGCCAATATAATACTTGTTCCCAAAGGACGTCAATGAGAATCCACTTTCAGCAACATTGTGCCACAACTTCCTCAGCTTCGTGTTGCTGTGAAGCGTATAGATGGTATCTTTACCAGCAGACTGAACATCAAGACCTACAGAATATGTGGTCCCACTGTGGTCTAAGTAAGCTGCAGCACACTCAGATTGAATGCTAAAATCCTGCTTGTCCTTGCTCATCTGCCCTGCGACAGAGGTAAACACATTCCTGTTCACCTGCATAGCAGCTTCCAAGCTAACCCCATCCAAGCCCACATCATTATCCCATCCATGGGAATCAAGAACAGGTCTCATAATCCACTGATCACTTGTAACAAGGCAACGATACCTGTGTGCAGGGCAATTAGAGCCAAAACTTGGAGGGACCTCCATCTCTGGTAATAAAACAGCCTCTTCTTGGGAAGCCTGCTGACTGTCAGAATTATCACCACTTGCCATATTTTTCTCTTTGGAAAGCTTAACCTCCATCTGCCTACGATACTCTTCTTTCAACTGTTTCTTTAGATAAAGAGTCTCTCGATAATCCAATTCATCAAGATAGTCTTTTTTCTGTGATTTTGTTAATCTCTCAAACTGAGATTTTGTTAGAATTCGGATTGGAGGTAATTGATCATACTCATCTTCCTCCTGCGTATATGAAACCAAGCTCTCATCAACTTCAACATCCCCTCCACTTGGACTAATGGTAGAGCGATGACGTAGAAGAGACGAGAGGAGATGCGGCAGAGAAGGCACGTGAGTGGCATTTGAGGGCCCCAGATGAATGCTGTCTTGAAATTTCATGAGGATATTGACATCACTCAGAACTTTAGTACAAATGCATAATAACAAAAACTGGGATTTCCAAACCTGTCCGTTTGGAAGTATCTTTTCACCGGCGATATTTTTCCTACACTGAAGATGATTCTCAACTAACAACACAGGGTTTTCAATTCTGGAGTCAAACACTGCCTGGTGTATATAGTGCTGCACCATATCTGTGCTTTGCCTCACATATGATTCATAATTGACGGGATTCCCATCAAGTCCTTCTGGAAGTGCTAGGGAAGAATGTGTCATGACAAGAATGGTGTTAAACCAAACTGCAGGACCGAATACTTCGGTTATTTGCTTCAAGAGGGAGAAGTCATTGTAGCTAGTACTCATGAGGTCGAGGCGTTCGAAGAACAAAACGATGTCAGGTGGACTTTTTCTAATAAATTTCTTCACAGAGAGCATAATCTTCTTATTTCTGCAGAAATTACCAGTACATGATGGCAAAAAACCAGGGGTATCGATGATATTTACTCGAATCCCATTCACAGTTCCCACAACCTCTCGAATACGATTTGTGCCAGGTCGAAATGCATTGGTTTCAGTCATCGTTTGGTCAAATATAGAGTTTATTGTAGCACTCTTGCCAACTCCTGTTTTCCCTAGGACAAGGATTCTGAGAGAGAAATCCATTTCAGGCAGGCCAGATGCCTCTTGTTCTGCTGCCACTGTTCTAGCTCTATCACTCCTGAGATTAACTCTTTTCAAATCTGATTCTTCTGCTCGTATCAAAGTAGCCAGGTGAATACGATAAAGAACCTTAGCCACCAGAACATTGTTCTGCGACAGACCAAGCCGTAAGAGGAGGCGCAAAAACTTAACTTGAAGATCGTCAATTCTTACCAAAGGATCCATCTTTTTCTTACCAGAGCGATTATGAGAGTGATCCAAATTTTCAACTACAGCATGCTGCAGGGAAGGACCAGACTGATTTTCCTGATCACTATTAAATGAGGTTGATGCGGCAGGATGGATGCGTGGTGTTACCAAAGTGTTCGAGTGAGCAGCACCTGAAAATTAGAAAACATTGATCTCTTTTCACATAGTCAAACAATGTACAACCCGTACATTGATATTGGTTTCCACTTTTTAGCATCAACTAAGGATTTAGTATCTTTTACACTAAACAAAATTCTTAAACTAAAGAAGTGCACATCTTACAGTCAATCTTAGGAATCACTCATTAAGCACAATGGATGAAGTATCGGAAGGGCGGTATTACCTTGGTCATCAAACTCTTCATTGGAGGATTCCTCTCTAAAGAAATTGTCACTGCCCGACAATGGCCGAGGCAAAACCAAAGGCATGGAAACTAACTGAGAAGAAATCCAATCCTTAAGACTCTTCATCCTTCCTGCAAAACATTCCCAGCTGAAAATCACATATGTGCCTAACAATATTCCATCTTTCTGTAAATCTAATTCAAATCATAATACAAGAAAATACAGAGAAAATTAAAAACTCCCTTTTCATATTTTAGTTTAAGCTTCTAATAATTGCAACAAGTTTGCTTCTTTACTTAAGTAATTATAATACAAAAATGAAAATTTTACAGCTAGAAATGAGAATTCAATTGAAATTCATGAATTTCCTGGCTAATTTGAAAGAAGGGAAGTAGAACTTTACCTGGAAAATACGAATTTTGCGATGAATATGCTTTTACTCTACGATTAGGAGAAGATGAGTATCGAAGCCATGGGAAACGAATCGAGAATTGGGGCAGCTCAGAAACCCTAATTCAGAGAGCCGAGGAATCGTAAGGGGCGACGAAAGAAAGGGTGTGAGAGGCTGAGGAGGAACAAGATGATGACGATGACTAGGAGCTTAGCCAGATAAGACAGAGACCGGAACCAAACACTTCCAAAACCAAAATATTAAAATATTGAATAAATTGTAGCAATGATCTTTAACTCAATTGGAACAATGATTATTCAACTAAAAATACGTCGATCAACTTATCAAAAAGTGCAGTTATAGTTTCTCAACTAAAAATTCATTACCAATAATCTCTCAACTAAAAATTCATTACCAATAGTTCCTCAACTTTAATCCAATTAGAGAAATGATGCCTTAATTTTAACCTAATTGAAGAAATGGTTCCTCAACTTTAATTATAGCTACACGTTTTTATGAGTTGAGGGACCAATGATACTAAATTTTTAGTTGAGAGACCATTACTCAAATTTAATTAAAATTAAAAGACTACTGATACAATTTACTTTAAAATATTTGGGATACTTTTTGCGCCCTAGAGAGAGGCGATTCACAATTTCAATTTTCACAAGAAAAATGAGAATTGTGCCTTTTATTTTTTTATTTTTTTGAGAAAATCATAAAAATAAATTATCTTACTTTATTTTAATTTGTGGGTAAGTTTTTTTTTTTTTTTTTTTTTTTTTTTTTTTGTCTGGAAAGTGATTTCTACATTTCCTTTTTTTTTCCTCTTGCATTGGTTCTTAGATTGAATGGATGGACAGTGGATCGACAAAAATGAGGTGAGAAAAGCATAAATAAAAACATCATAAACTACCAAGAGTAGCATTTCAAATTCGAGCACATAATGAGAAAGAGCACATTCGTTCAAACCAATGTCATTACATCCAGGTATGCACCTTGGCACACGTTCACAAATTCACAATACCAGTAGGGGCGCACGGCCCAAACATAAAACAAGGTGCCCAATCTTGAGCAACCCATATCAAAGGCCCCATATGAGATATGAGGCAACTTGTAAAAAGAAAAGTCTCAAGGTCCAGGTTGGATGCCATGGAAGCTTCTATGGATAAGACTTAGAACTTAAGAAAGTTGTCCCACATTGTACCAAAGCGAGGTCCATGCGACCATCCTAACTAGAGTCGAGAAAGTCAACAGATGAAGCGCGTTCCAAATTCAATTCAACAAAGGACAGAAATACGTACGAATCCACTTCTGGCTTTCCTTGCATGAACAAGCCACCTCTTCTTCCTCCTCCCTAATTCCTCAGTCACAACTTCCCTATAAATACACAACATACTCTCTCCATCTCCCAATTCATCTCCCGACTCATAAAAAACTCCGAGGCATTTTCCGGGAAAAGAAAAGAAAATGGCGGTGGAAAGCAATCAGACAAGTGACCAAGAGATGGCGAATTCGCAACCGGAGCAGCAGGAGCTCAAACGGAAGAAGAGAATCAGATTGGCAATCTACATTGCTGTGTTTCTTGTGTTTCAGATCATAGTGATTACCGTACTAAGCCTCACCGTGCTGAAAGTGAAGTCGCCGAAGGTGCGACTTGGTGCCCTCAACGTGCAAAATCTCACGGCCGCCCCTGCAACGCCCTCGTTCGACGTGACATTCGCAACCCAAATCAGGATCAAGAACACAAATTTCGGCCGGTACAAGTTTGACGCAAGCACTATTAAGTTTTACTACGATGGCGCGACCGTCGGGCAAGTTAGCATTCCCAAGGGCAAGGCCGGAATGTGGTCGACCAAGAAGATTGATGTCACGGTGAATTTGAGTACCAAGGGGCTGCCGAGCTCCAAAAACTCCAGTCTTCGAACGGAACTGAGCACTGGGGTTTTGCGGCTGACGAGCGAAGTGAGGGTGAAAGGAAAGGTGGAGTTGATGATGGTGATGAAGAAGAACAAGTCTGCGAAAATGGACTGCACTTTGGAAATTAACTTGTCAACCAAGAAAATTCAATATTTGAAATGCAAGTGAACAAAAGGGATAACTTCTGGTGATATGTATGGCTCCTTTATTAAGATTTAGTTAACGTTTCTATAATATTACCATTTTTATTTTCGAAGAAGGCTAAAATTCATTTATTCGAGCGAAGTGAATTTCACAGTCTCATTTTCTACTTATGCACTCCTCTCGTATTCTTTAGATTGAATAAATTAAATAAGAATCCAATGACATAACAAAAAGAAGTAGGGGTGGGCAAACGGGTCCTGGACCCGCGGGTAGGGGCGGGTATTGGCGGTTCGGGGCGGGTACGGGGCGGGTCCATATTCTTTTAGATACAAAACGAGGCGGGGTGGGGCGGGTCCAAGTAAACAAAGGGGCTGGCCGGTTCCAATTTTTTGAAGTCGCGGGCCCCCGGCCCGAACCGTTTGCAAACCTCACACACTCTCAAATATCTCTCTCACACACACTCAAATCTCACAAACGCACATCTTAGCTTTCTGGAAGATTCTCCCGAGTCCTCCCGAGTCCCTCCCTGCCGATCTCTATCTCTCTTTCAGTCTTCCCTATCGATCTCTCTCTCCCAAAGTCATCCTTCTCCATTCGTCGATTCTCCCGAGTCCTCCCTCTCGATCTTTCTCTCCCAGAGCCTTCCCTATCGATCTCTCTCTCCTAGAGTCCTCCTTCTCGATTCGTTGATTCTCCCGAGTCCTCCCTTTCTATCTCTATCTCCGAGAGTCTTCCCTCTCGATCTCTTTCTCCCAGGGTCTTCCCTCTCGATCTCTCTCTCCTAGAGTCCTCCATCTCGATTCTCAATCTCCTCTCCCACAACACCACTATCGTCGTCGTCTCCTGACTCTTCTCCCAATCGTGACCACCCATCATCGCCGTCGAAAACACCACCATAATCTAAGCGGTTCAGCAGCTACAGCAGCTAATAGGTATGCCTAATTTCGCATTTCAGTATTGTTGGGTAGAATTGAAAGGAACCCAGATGGAGAGTTTTAATTTTTATTTGAATTGCATGTTATCCAGATGAAAAATTGAATTTTTGAGCTACGGTTTTTCGATTTTTTTAATTTGGGATTTCAATTTTATTGCTTTTTCTCATATATGATAATGGTTATGGTTTTTCTAGCGAATTCTGATTATTTTACGATCTGGGTTTAATGATTTTAGATGGGGATCAAGTATAATACGTGTGTAGAGGTTCTTCTTTGAATTGCTATGTGTGCAACATCTTTGTTCAGTTAGCTATCTAATTGTTGATTCTCAGTTAGGGTTTTGAGCATCCAAGTATCAATTCTTTATGGGTTTGATTTGTCAAGAGATTTTTTTTTTAATGAAAAAATAAGAATTTACTTGCTTTACTGAATTTTGGAAAATCATGCTGTGAAGGATCTTGCAGGACTTGTTGAAGTCGTCTTTTTATCCGCTTTGGGAGCTCAATTTGGCTTGATTTCAGGCCACTGGTTCGAGTTTGGTTGTCCTTCTAATGGCAGCAGTGGCGGAGGATGCAGCGGCAGAGGATGAAGGTGTTAGGGCTTTTTATGCTGGGCTTGGTTTCGTTGTCCTATTGTATTTGGCCTTGTAAATGTGAATGTGTTGTTGGTAATAAAAAAAAGCAGCCCAATGTCAGACCCAGAAAAAAAAAAAAAAAGTAATTGGACCCATAGACCTGTCCCGAACCGGCCCGTTTAAAACGGGCCGGGTTAGGTTCGGTTCCTAAATTCAAAATCTCTCTACCCGGCCCGCCCCGGCCCGTTACATTTTAAAACGTGTAGGTCCGGTTCCTCCAAATTTGGGCCCGGCCCGGCCCGTGCCCACCCCTAAAAAGAAGTGCATAAGAAAAAATGAGAGAGAAAATCACCACCTTTATTCAGCCACATTTTTTCGGATCTTGGATTACACAAGTTATGTTGCTACCAAAGATTAGGGTATGGTAACAACACTGTAGACATCGAAATTTCGGTAAATAAATGTTGACCGATAAATCAAAGTTTCGACGCTCATGTATTACATAAATTTTACACGTAGTGTATGTCTAAACAAAAAATCGAAATACGTTGGAAAAGTCATCAAATAGGACATGTGTCAACACATGGCAGAAATGACTTATTTCATCTGGCATATTATATCAAATTTAGGCCTTGGAAAATTCTATAAATAGAAGCCATTTCATTCATTTTAGCGGGAACCAATTCATATTACACCTTGAAGCTCTGAAGTTCTGAAACTCCGAAGCTCTCAAACATCCAGGTTCCCGAAGAATCAAGAAAGCCTTCTTCATTCTTCGTTCATTGTTCATCAAGCCCCAACGGCCCTTTGGATCAACAATCATCCACCAATTCAAGATTAAGCCCCGACGGCCTTTGAAGAAAGTGTTATTCGTTCTTCGTTCATCGTTCATCCTAAGATCAAGCCCAAACGGCCCTTTGGATCAACAAACATCCACCAATTCAAGATCAAGCCCCAACGATCCTTGAAGAAAGTGTTCTTCATTCTTCGTTTATCGTTCTTCCAAGATCAAACCCCAACGACCCTTTGGATCAACAATCATCCACCAATTCAAGATCAAGCCCCGACAGCCCTTGGATCAACATCCAACCGTTCTTCAAGAGCAAGCCCAAAAGCCCTTGAAGATTCGTTCATCACTATTCTTCAAGATCAAGCCCAAAAACCCTTGAAGATCCGTTCATCACTGTTCTTCAAGATCAAGCTCAAAAGCCCTTGAAGATCCGCTCATCACCGTTATTCAAGATCAAGCCTCAACGACCCTTGAAGAAACATTCATCCTCAAGATCAAGCCCCAACGGCTCCTTGAAGATCCGCTCAAATCCACTTTCAAAGATCAAGCCCACGACCCTTAAAGAATGTTCATCCAAGATCAAGCCTCGACGGCCCTTGGATCAATCACACATCAACAAATACACACCTTACGGAGATCGAATCAGAGGATCAAAATAGAGAGAGATTGTAACCCAAAATCATCGAAATACAAATATTTTTTTGTGCACGTTGTTCTTGTCTCATTCGTTTCAGGAAATTTCCGTGTTCACAAATTGGCACGCCCGGTGGGACAATCTCTACCTCTCATCTATTTCTCCGTTCAAGGAATCCAAACACACCTCAAAGTCAATGGCATCAAGCAAGGGACAAGCCGTTCTCGCAACCACTGAGGGAAGGATCCTAAGCACTTCTGCCGCAAACGGACAATCCATTGGCGCCACAACCGCTCCTCAACATGCCACTTCAAAATTGGTGCCGCTAAAAGAGCAAGGGGAGCATCCAAGGTGTGAGTCTGTCATTAACCTGACCTCGCTGGGGGCACCGAAGCATGATGCTGAGGCACACAAGATGACATCCCAAAACAGCCAACGACGTTCTTCATCAGCATCCTGGATGTCTAAAGGAAAGTCATGTCTATTGGTCGCACAAGTCATGACTATCGGTGTTACCTCCATTGAAGAACAACTGGCTCAAATGAATGAAGCGATTGCAAGGCTAACACAGATTGTGGAAGAAAAAGACTTGCAAATCGCTGCACTCGTCAGCCGACTGGAGCCACAGGACGGCGAGAACCCTAACCCAGAAGATGAGCCTCCGGTGGAAAGAATCGATGTGAAGCCGGAGCCAGACCAAGCAGCGGCACTTATGAGATCTCTTTCTATCCAGCAGCTGCAGGAAATGATCACCAACACCATCAAGGCACAGTACGAAGGGAGCTCACATACCTCCTTGTTCTACTCGAAGCCCTACTCCAAGAAGATTGATGCCCTGAAGATGCCAAGGGGTTATTAACCACCAAAGTTCATGCAGTTTGATGGAAAAGGAAACCCGAAACAACACGTTGCCCACTTTGTTGAAACTTGCAACAACGCAGGGACCGAAGGGGACTACCTTGCCAAGCAGTTTGTGCGCTCGCTGAAAGGAAACGCCTTTGAGTGGTACACGGACCTAGAGCCTGAGTCCATCAACAGCTGGGAGAAGTTAGAGCGGGAATTCCTCAACCGCTTCTATAGCACCCGCCGCACTGTGAGCATGCTAGAGATAACAAGCACAAAGCAATGGAAGGACGAGCCAGTCATTGACTACATCAACAGATGGCGCACTCTAAGCCTCGACTATAAAGACAGGCTCGCGAAAACCTCTTCAATCGAGATGTGCATCCAAGGCATGCAATGGGGTTTGCAATACATCCTTCAAGGCATTAAACCACGGACTTTCGAGGAATTGGCCACTCGCGCCCATGACATGGAGTTGAGCATCGCCCATCATGGGAAGAAAGAACCGATCGCCGACTACAAGAACGACAAAGTTGTTGGGCCAAAGGAGGAGAAGACTGCGTGGAAACCCACCAAAGAGACAATGATGGTCAACACAGCTCCCATCAAAATCTCCACACGAGGCAAGGCGATTCAAACCGAAGCTTTTCGTGATCAAGAGATGCGTAGACGCACTTTGAAGGAGCTTGAGGAGAAGACTTATCCGTTCCCCGACTCTGATGTGGTTGCCATGCTGGATGACCTGTTAGACAAGAAGGTGATCAGTTTGCCTGAGTGCAGACGGCCGGAAGAGATGAATCGTACCCGATAGCCCAAGATACTGTAAATTCCACCGCTTCATCAGCCATCCAACGGAAAAGTGCTTCGTACTGAAAGATCTCATCCTGAAGCTAGCACAGCAAGGGAAAATTGAGCTTGACCTCGAAGACACGGTTGCGGCACACACTACTACTATCATGTTTGGATCACTTGATCATGTGCCTCTCCGAAGCATGCATGACCATTCTCGTCAATGTTCAAGTCACAAGACACCTCCTACACAACCATCACCGGGGGCAAGCAACCAGGATACATCTACTGGTGATAAGAAAGGGTGAACATCGGCGACCTACAAAAAAACGAGAAAGCCAAAACCACAAGCCACAAGGCCAAAAGAGGAGCCTAAACCCGCCCCTCGAACTTCAGTCTTCGAAAGGCTGGATTATTCAAAACCTAGAATTTCGGCACTTGATCGCATCAGTGGTCGAG